TATATATATATATATATATATATATATATATATATATATATATATATATATATATACAGTGGTGTGCAAAAGTTCTTGGCCAAATTCATTTTTGGCAATATATTATGAACAGGAAAAGCAAGTGACTTATAACTATAAGTAGATATAAATCTGTGATAATGTACAGAAAATAGCACTCGTATCTTCCAAGGTTTACCTATTGAAAGTGTGTTTACTTTCAATAAGTCACTGTTCAAAAGTTCCTGGCTATTGTGTTTATTACTTATGTTATGCTTCTACTGAGTGCTTATCACTTTATTTCCGAAAGAGTAATCGATTAATAGACATCAGAGTATTATCATAGCACGAAAGACGCAGCAGGCAATCCGAGAAAGAATTATTAGTTGGTCGCGAAGTGGTTAAGTATCTCGTGATATTGCTGAGCTATTAGGAATTTGTAAGTCGACTGTTAATAATATATTAGCTAAGTACCGTGCTGGATATGATCTAAAGGATCGCCCGCGAAGTGGAAGACCGCGAAAAACAACAAAAAAAGTAGACCACGTGATTAAAATGAAGTCAATTGCTAATTCGCGGAAAACAGCAAATGACATTGCTCGCAAACTCCGTGATGAAAACCTCGCCAATGTTAGCCGCTGTACCGTTACAAGACGTTTACATGATGTCGGATTGTTCGGGCGTATCGGTGTGAAGAAGCCTTTAATTAGCAAAAAGAATCAGAAGGCCCGTTTACAGTTTGCAAAAGATCACATAAACTGGACAGTAGAAGATTGGAGAAAGGTAGCATTTTCCGATGAATCAAAATTTAATCTGTTTGGAAGTGATGGAAGACATCATGTGCGACGTCCAGTTGGTACCAGAAACAATGTAAGATATCAAATTCTAACTATAAAACATGGAGGAGGCAACGTGTTGGTGTGGAGTGTTTTTTCTGCTTATGGCGTTGGTCCGTTAGTCAATATTGATGGAACTATGAATTCTGCGATATACAAGAATATCTTGGAGAAGAATTTACTACTATACGCCAAATGCAAAATGCCAAGAAACTGGATATTTCAACACGATAACGACCCGAAGCACACCTCAAGTCTTGTAAAGAATTGGCTCCTGGCTGCAGGTTTTAACCTGGCCATCGCAGTCTCCGGACCTCAACCCCATCGAACATTTGTGGGATGAAAGCGCCGAGTTAAAATTCGTAAGCACTCGAAAACATAGTTACTCGAGCATTTGACGGAAGAATGGAATAATATATCGATGAGTGTTATTGATCAGTTGATAGAATCTATGCCTCATCGCTGTGCCACAGTAATAGCTTCAAAGGGCATGGCAACAAAGTACTAAGTACTAAGTGAAAGACTATTATTTACTGAATTAAAGTGTCTGAAGTTGCTCTTTTTGTTAGAAATAAACGTGGCCAGGAACATTTGAACAGTAATATTTATGTTATTTGTTAATAATTCAGTACAATAGAATAGATCTTTATAATTTAATATAACATTATCTGTTAATTATCTAAGCTTTACATACTATGTACCTTACAATATTGCAATTCTTTTATATTAGAAATTATAACCAACAATGAGTTTGGCCAAGAACTTTTGCACATCACTGTGCATTTAAAGCACAATGAAAATAACTTTCTCAAGTTTTTAATAACGCCTATATACATTTTAGGATAATGTGACATAAGTATAATAAATAAAAAACACAACATCAAATATAGTTCAAATGTAATATAATTAAAATGTTAATTATACTTAAAATATTATAGTTCATATTATAGTTAAATATTATAGTTATAATAATATAGTTATATTAGGTGCGCAACTAAGTTCTCGCTATTTTTTTTATGAAAATGCAACTTTATTGTGAAAAAATGGTTACAAATGAATCATTCAAAGTATTGCCCATCGCTAGCTACAACTTTTTCCCATCTTTCTGGGAGAGCTCGAATACCGTTACGGTAAAAGCGTTTGTCTTGTGAGGCTATCCACGAATCAAGCCATTTTTTGATGTCTTCATATGAGCGGAACTGCTGATCAGCCAGACCATGTGCCATCGAACACGGAACAAGTAATAATCGGACGGCGCAATATCTGGGGAATATGGCGGGTGGGGTAGGACTTCCCATTTGAGCGTTTCCAAGTAGGTTTTAACGGGTTTGGCAACATGAGGCCGAGCGTTGTCATGCAGTAGAATCACTTTTTCGTGCCTCTGCTCGTATTGTGGCCGTTTTTCGCGCAGTGCTCGACTCAATCGCATCAATTGAATTCGATACCGTTCCCCAGTGATAGTTTCGTTCGGTTTCAACAGCTCATAATAACTAACACTGACCTGGTCCTACCAAATACACAGCATAACCTTTGCAGCGTGAATATTCGACCGAGCCGACGACGTAGAAGCATGACCGGGCAGTTCCCATGACTTTCTTTTCTTTGGGTTGCTGTAATGAATCCATTTTTCATCACCCGTCACG